TCATTGAATCACAATACCGATAAGTGATTAATAAAAGTCAAAAGACCAAAGAGGTCACCTTAATACCAAAAAAAAAATAAAATAAAAAAATAACAATTTTTTATCTTAATTGTATATATATATTAGCTAGTTTGTGAAATTATTAATACTAATATATAGCTTTTATAATAAATAATTTTTGATTTAATGTTTGCTTGAACGATTTTATTGTCAAAAGACTGCATTGATAAGACTAGAAATGTGCATCTTACGCGAAATGCTGATGTTATTCAATTGATTCTCGCACGAGATAATATAAATAATTTCTTATGACATCAGCATTTCGTGCGAGATGCACATCTCTAGATAAGACGATTTTTAATGAGTTCTAAATTCAAATCACAAAATCCTGAAATTGTTAAGGTTTAGTCTTTTCGGATGGTTTAACCAATTCTAAATATCGAAGTGACACAAAACCTTAATAATCTCGCGGATCCAATCAAATCACAAATCAGGCAATTTGATTGGATTTGCACATGACACTGCTCGGGATCTTGCGATTGAATTTTTAGTGGTTTTGGGACTAGTTTTATTAATGCGGTCAGTTTGGTGGCCAAATTATTCAAACGAACCAGTAAATCAAAAATTATTTAGAGAAATTATATCGATATTGGTATTAATGATTCCAAAATCGGCTGATATGGATGGAGTTCTTCATAAATATATAATCTGTTCTTCGATCTTGAATCATGTGACCTATTATTTAATGATGAGTCGCTATTGCTATTGTGTGCCACAATTCTTCCAACCCTGGCAAATTTGAAATTTTTTTGTTAAACATTGTAAATCATTCTATATAATACCGTGTTACGGAAAACTATCTTCCGAACCCCAATAATTACAAACTTAACTCTTTTAAAAAACATTGGGAAATTCGAATCTTTTTTTTTTTGCCACATCTTAATTCAATTAACTTAATCTAACTTTGCAACAAGAAAATATAATTTTTTATTTCTAAAAAATGGCAAATTCTACATTAAAGAATCGTACAACTACTTCTTCTAAACCTACCGAGTCTTCACCCTTTACTCCAGATAGTGACCAAATTAGCCTGATCTTTTCGAAGAAATACACATTCCCAGTTAAAAAATCCAATATAAATTACAAAACTTTACCAAAGTTCATCGATGATACTTTGAGATACTTGAATACATTTAATTATCCTTATGAAATGTTTTATGTTGAAAACGGAAAGGAGATTGCAATTAAATCGAAAGATTCGGATGCAATGAAGATTTTGAAAGGACTTTGTGAAAGTGACACGAATATTGATAAAGTCTATTTCATTGCTGATAAGGAGGTATGAAGAATAGATTTTATAAGTTTTTTTCAAAAATAAACATATATATATATGTATGTATAATTCATTGTCTTTTTATGATATAGGGTGGAATCACAACTTTTATATACTACAACGTTGACTTATTATTACTTATTGTGCTAATATTATGTCTCACTTGGTTGACTATCATTGGGTCTTACGAATCTCAGATGGCGTCAAGTTTTTTTGGGATTGTTTTAGCTTTGAGAATGTTTAAATATCTTCGATAAAAGTCTTATTTTCGAATATTGCTTAAGGATAAAGTTAAACGCCCTACAATGGTGCTTGTCTATAATATTTAGTAAAGTTTTAATGTAATTATCGGATTATAATATATACATTAGATTCTTGTAATATTAATATTGATTCAATGATAAAATGTTATTTACTTCTTTAACAAGTTTATTAGTGAGAACTTAATAAATTACTGTATGAATGCTCTTTATGTAGTACATAGTTTGAAGAGACTGCGCTAATACATAGCTATAAATAACACACAAAACAATATAAATAATACAATATTGTAATTATATATATGAATTTTAAATAAATAAAGTATTTAGTAAATTTTTTACTTTTCAGCCAAGGCAAGAACAAAAGGCCAGGTAATTTTTAAAATCTGGTCATCCTCCCATCCTTCATCCTTCTTAATTTCCTCAAACAACTTGTCAATTGGATCCTCTATTTTCTGGTTTTCTTTTTGACACTTGGACATATAATTCTTATAGGCACTCCATGTCTAAAAAAAACAAAAACACCATAGATATATGCATATATTTATATATAGTATATTTTCTTAAAAGAAGAAAATTTCAAATCGATATTTCTTAAACTCACCTTCATATAGCTTTTCAATCGATCAACACTCCATTCTTGGCTTACAAAACTTTCACCGTTCTTCATTTTTCCTTCCTTCTCATCAAATTCATGCCTTTCCCAAATAATATTTTTGAATAAATCATCAGGAATCACAATATCTCTATACAAATTTTCAATTACTAATCTTCCCTGATCCCAATGATCACCCATTGTCTTTGATCCAAATTCTAACATTTTTTTCGAAGCTGCTGGATATCCATCGACAACATGATACCCATATCCCCATATGGCTAATGTTCCACTTTGTTTTAAAACTCTCCATACTTCTTTAAAAAACTTTTCTCTATTGAACCAATGAGCCGCTTGGCCCACTGTTACTAAGTCAAAGGTCGAATCTTGGAATTGAGAAAGATCCTCTGCAGTGCTAACCGAGTATTGAATCTTTGGAGAACGAAAAGCAGATGAAAGCATATTATGTGAGATATCAGTGGCATACACTTGTTGAAAAGTTTTGGATAGTTCTTTGGCGATGTAACCAGTCCCAGTTGCAATGTCTAAGGCGGTGGAAAAAGATGAAGAATGTAATGCATGGTAAGCATAAACTTTTGAATAGAGGTGGGGCGAATATCTGAATTTAGGATTTAAGAAAAAATTGACAAGATTAGCTTGAATTTTATTTTATTTTTTTTTCGATCTGCCCAAAAATTAACTAACGTTGGACGATAAGCATCGTATGCAGCGCTATTATAATCAGAATCAGCGAAAGTAGTGGAGTTTTCCTTAACAAAATTAATATTACTCGTGGTAGACATTGCAGGAAATCGAATTAAATAGGGGGTAATTCTTTTCAAACTTGTCTTTGTGATATAATTCATATATAATTCTATATGGCTGTATATTGAGTTTTCAAACTTCTCTTTATATAACACTCAATAATTATACGTATGCATTTAATTTGTATTATTATTATTATTATATAGGTATATCTTATATATTTTTATTATTATATAGGTATATCTTATATATTTTATTAGTAATCTTTGAAATATTTGTCATTATTTTTAGTGAGTCATTTGTGACATACACCATTACCTAAGAACTTTATCGATGTACAACGATAATTATTGTAGAATATAAGTATATTTTGGAACATGGATTTAGTACATTATTTGTTTGATTCGGTGTCATTTGCAATTAGTAATGTGATTATAGCTCCGAAAAACATTATAAAAATAATTACGAAATTAAAGACTGATGAGTCGCACAGATGTTACTAACCTTTCTCCAAATTATAATAGAACAGAGTGAAACCTGAGTTGCGAAATAGTGAAATCCGCTTTGTAGATCGGGTTAGGGTGAAATCTGCGTTTTATTATGTTTTTTATTATATAAAAGCGGATTTCACCTTCATGTGATATCATAGCGGATTTCACCTTCATGTGATATCATAGCGGATTTCACCTTCATGTGATATCATAGCGGATTTCACTATTTCGCAACTCAGGTTTCACCCTGTCGTATTATAATTAATGGTTGCTGTTTGCTAATTGCTAGAAACATGCATCATTAATCATAGATCGTATTTTCCATATATCGATATGTAAGACGATGAAGGGGTTAAACTTATACGCACTCAATTTGGAATATAGTTAATATAGTTAATAGTAATACAAACTATTTTGGGAATAATAATAATGGTAATACATTGTACGTGCGTACGTACTTGCGAGAATCTTGAGGTGACAAATTGACATCATCTAATAATACGGTAACGAAATTATAGCAGATCAATATAGTATAGGTGTACATAGGCCGAAATTAAAAGGGAGTAAAAGTTATACTATACTGATCAGCTAACCCTAAAGCTAATATATATCGGACCAGTATGGTATATATTCTAAAATTCGGCCTATACTATACTGATCTGCGAAAATACGGTAATTTAATTCGAGATTCGATTCCTCTCGCCAGGAGGAACCGAGTAATGCAAACATCATGAACCCAATCACTGGTTATGAGATATCCTAACTGGTTACAAGAATGGGAGGAACCGTCAATGTTGCACCACTAATCCAACAGGTGAAGATATCTATAACATTAACGGTAGACTGATCCAATAATTTTTTATGAACAGGGATTAGTTGTGCAAAGTTGACGGTTCCTCCTGTTGGTTACGAGATTTCTTAACTCGTCACAATATCTCTCCACCTGCTAGTAATTGGATTCGAATAATTATTCATCATTCGATATTTTTCAGCGAAAAGAATCAAATGATATGAGAAATTGCCCAAAATTGTACACCGTGTTATGAGATATATTAATTCGTTAAGACACATTTTCTTGTCAAAAAAAAGTCTTATTCATCTTTATCTCGTAATCCAGTGCTTGGACTCGAGTGAATTTTGCACCATTAGAAGCCTTTCAACGAGAAGGAATTCAAACTTGTCAAAAAATCATTCTTTGGGTTCTTAATATTCTTTAAAAATTCTTTAACGTTCTCAATACAAGAAAATTAAATTTTATTATTAAGAACAATTGTCAAATGTTCTCAAATAGAGAACTTTTTTTAGCAATTCATAAAAAATTAAGGTTCTCTGAGAACACTGAACTGATCTTATCACGAGATCATGATATCCCCCTTCAGTACCCCATTTTTAATTGTTTTTGCAAATAAACATAATTTACATTAAAAAAAGCACTGTTTTTAGAAATTTCACTATAAATGTTTAATTTTTGGGTGATAAATATGTCTTAATTAGGAATAGGTCATTTAAAAAAAACAACCAATTAGCGAGATTATTAAACCTGAACATCAAAATATTACGACATTGTGCTGTAAGCGGTTTTTCGGACGCCAAAATAGATAAATCAGCACTCTTGGATTCTCGATTAGCAGATTCCTGATAATAGGAAAAAAAAATAAAAAAAAAAATAAAAAAAATTTTTGTTTAATAATTTAAAAGATTACATTTAGTGGTCCTTCTTTTTTTAAGCACACAATAACAATGTCTTTCAGAAACAAGTTAAATTTTTATAATATGCTCGATCGATTAATTCCTTCTGATATATTGAATCAGGGTAAATTAAGAAAATTTTCTTTCTGAAACCATGTCCCAAGAAATTTATCGAATTTTATGATAGCCTTTTTTTAAAACCATTTTTACGAAAAGTTGCTTATTCATGACTACAGGACCGATTATCTTCCCTGATTTTTCTGTCTTTCGAGAAAATAAATCCTATTTACATAATTACGTTTTTTTTTTTTTTTGATGATACACCCTCGCTTATTCTCTGATTATTATTCCTATTGGTTTTATCTTCGTTTTTTTTCAAATCACAATATTTAATATTCCTATTTTTGTTAGACTATGATAAAGATTATGTGGCTCGACGTAATTTATTGCAAGCGCGTTCTGTTATTATTGTCACAGTATCAGTATGCATCGCTCTTCTTTTACAACTCCTAGTGGACCTCTGTCTGATATTACTTAATGGATCAATAAATCATTCTGAATTTCCGTGGCCAATTACCTTATTCGGTACTACTTTTTATGTTGGTAGGTTGATTATTATCGCTAATTATCGATGTTTCTATTGATTTCTTGATCCTCAATGTGCTTTATCGTATTGACTTTTTGATCTTACTGCGCCATCCATTTGTTCTCACTATGTCGATAGCCATGTTATATTTTATACCAAATGGCAAAATAACAATTGTGCAAGCTGCAAAATTTGGTGTTTATTTTTTTTTGCTACTATCTATATATATCTCTTGTCTTGATAATGGTAGGTTTTTTTTTTTATAATTTACTTGCATTTTGTATTTTTTTTCGAAATGTTCAATATCTTGTGGTTTTCGCATCCAATTATAAAGGATTCCAAACTTTAAGTCATGCAAACTTTTTTGCTGTTCCTCCTTTCGGGTATGTTTATTCATAAATATGCTCCTATTTATTTAAAATGTAAACTAATAATTTATGATTCGATCTTTTTTTAAAGATATATATTTGTTTCCAAAAGCTTTGGAAGAAAAACCACAATTATAGTTTGTGTGATATATGTGATTTCGTTTTTTCAGTGAGTGCTCCTGATCAATTGGATGATATTATGATTATTAATGTGATAAGTTGATGTTAATGCGATACAAATATTATTGCATCTTTTTATTTATTGCATTTATTGCATTTATCGCATTTATCATATTTATTAGATCCATTGGAAAAGAGACACCAATATCATTGTCAGCTACTGGATGGGTTTTCTGTGATATCTATATACTATGCTTTGTTTACTTCTTATTCGTGAGTACTTGTAAACAAATTCATATCGCTTTCATCAATGAATTAATTGATTTATATACATGACTCTAAAGGTTGCTTATGAGCAAGAATTCCAATATAATCAAGAACGCATGCAAAAATCCCTGGATGAGGTATCGTTGTATTAACTGTATATTTAAAAACATATATCTCCCCATTTTACAAGTAAATTCTGTTTTAATTTAGGCGAAATCTGCGGAAATCGCAAAGTCCATGTTTATTTCCAATGTCAGTCACGGTAAAAATTTATGTTCTTTTTGATTTGATTTTATTGTAAATGTATAAATACTTAAATCTCGGTGATTTTATTTTTTTAAAAATAATGCATATCACTCATAATGTTATGCAAATGTTTTCATTCATAATATTATGTGAATGCTATACATAAATATGCATATTATTTTCTTTTTATTTGCTGGTATTAAAATTTTTCAGAATTGCGAACGGTATGTCTTGCTTAAAATTCTATTCATCCTATAATAATGAATTAAAACTAATCTCAATCACTCTGTCATTGAATATATCGTTAAGCCTTTACATGGTGAGAAAATATTATGAAATTAGTTATTCCGAAATTAAGGCGATTTAAAAAAAAAAGGCTCTCGTTCAGATATTTTAAATCGATCTGTAGTTTCATAAATTTGATTTTTAACGTTAAGAAACCGGCGTAATTTGCTGCCCTGTTAGGTATACTTGCGACCGTCGAAATTTTGTCAAATACAAAATTAAATGAATCTCAACGCGCACTACTAAAAGCCATAGAAAGTTGTGGAACGAATTTAATCTCGGTTTTTTTTCTTATCCTTTTATTTTAAATGATAATTTCGTTCTTTACATTTTTTTATATAACATTATTTATGACTATATAGGTAGTTAATCAAGTATTGACATATGCAAAAATTGAACATGGAAAAATGGAACTAGTAAATTTTTAAATCAATATATATTTAAACAATCACTCCATTCTTGTACTAACTACGGATTTGTGTCAAAGGAAAACAAAGTATTCGATATTTATGCAGTGATGCAAGAAATAGGGGATGGTTTGTTGATGTATTTTCATCACTTTTTTTTTTCTCTTTTCCTTTCTTTTTTTTAAAAAAAAAAAAAAATCAAAATTTGACATCTTTTTTAATGAATAGCGTTAGCACCAATTTCTGAGCGAAAAAAGCTAAACTTCGATATATGTATAAAAATGAACCCGATGCATAGATTCCTTGCTGGGGATGTTGGAGTTTTAAGGCAAATCATATTGAATGTAACTTATTTTATTTTATTTGTTTTCTTTTTTTGAAAATACTTTTTCTTGGAAGAAAAAATAATAATAATAATAAAATATATTGGTTTCATGGAAATAATATTGATTGGTCTATGTTGATCGAATGGTAGCTTCTTGGAAATGCTGTACGTATCAAGATTTATTAATTGGCTTGAAAACAAAGCAAATTTAATTCTTATCATTTTGTTTAATCACAGATTAAGTTCACTGATGAAGGAGATGTCGAACTAATTACTGTCGAATTAACTGATGAAGTTGAGTCTAAGCAAGAGAATAAACAAAAGATTTCACTGCCATCCGAAAGTGGGGTTATCAATAGTGATGAACATAGTTCAGAATCACAAAAAGTTAAGTTTCGAATAGAAGTAACTGATACTGGACCCGGAATTGATCCTGATTTTATGAGTCATATGTGTCGACCATTTTCTCAGGTTTGTTAAAACTATCATTATAGTTGCATCAACTTTTTTGTAAACTAATCTTTTAGAAATAGGAAGACTCATCTTTGCGTAGAAAATTTGAGGGAACAGGACTAGGTCTTAGTATCGTTAAAGGTAAAAGAATATAATAGTTATTAAAAAAAAAAAGGAAAAATTAACAAGTTATTAAACAGGTCTACTGGATATGATGCATAGCTGTATAGAAGTTGAATCAAATGTTGGAAAAGGAAGTAAATTCTCTTTCGTTCTAGAACTTCCCTTATCTCAAAGATTGGATTCCCTTGTTCCATCTCAATACCCGTTTGATCATCAATATTTATTATTGGCCTACGAAAAACAAACTCAATTAATATCATATTCAAAGTCTTTATTCTTTGTTGTACTGGAATCAGAAAATACTGAATTCCTGCGACGAATAACATATTATTTGGATCAATGGGAATTTAAATATCGATTAATAAAAAAGGAAGAATTGAAGGTTGAGTTTGAGAAAGAGCATGTGGACATTGTGATTTTAAATGATAGTCTTAGTGATCTGGAGTGGTTTTTGGACGAGTTTGTACAATTTTATAAACCTGTAAAATGTATTAAGGAAGGAGGCGAGGAAAGTATAGTGCGAGAGCATAAGGATGAGAAGAAACAACGAATAGTGTTCTTTTCAAAGATTGAAGATTATCAAAATGCGGAGAATACATTACAAAAGTATAAAGTCCGATTTGCTGTTGTTATATCGAAGGTAAAAACAAAAATAAAAATAAACAAAAAATTGACTTGAATAACTATAAAATGAATACAATTGTTTTTATATTACTAAAAAATTATTATTATTGAAAAGCCAGCTGGTCCAGTAAAAATTTTAACGGCCATAATAAAAGTGGTAGAATCTTTACTTTCTCCCACATCCGAACCTGTATGCGTGATAAAAGAAGAGCCTGCTATATATAATTACGTTCAGACCCAAGAAATATGTCTAGGAAGTGATCTATTATGTTCACCAAGCATGTACGGATCAACGGCTGATATGACGGAAGGGTTTCCGATCGGTGTTGGCGAAAAAGCTATAGTGAGTTCGGGTTCTGATACTACGAGCACGGAACGTACTGAAGTAAAATCGATTGAAGAACAACCTTCCGAAGTTGAGAGATCTGATGAAAAGAAGGAGAAAGAAACGGAAGAGAAAAAGTCACTGAAGGATATATCTTTCCTTATCGTTGAGGTTGTTTTCTTTATGTCAAGTACTTTAATTACTTTTATGCACAAGCATTATTGACCTTTATTTTGATTTATAACTCTTATAGGATAACAAGATTAACGCAATGATTTTAAAAACAATGTTAAGACAAGCTGGATTTAATAATTATGATGTAGCTGCTAATGGGCTTCAAGGTCTGCCATTTAATACTTTTAAAAGCATTTCTTTAATGATGTTTATTGTTCTTTTTTTATTTATTTACAAAACAGCGGTCCAAAAATTTTCTAAAACATTATATGATATAATATTTATGGTGAGTTCTGCGTGAATTAAATGATCGAATAACGATAGGATTGCAATAACGTAACAAGTTTTTTTATGACAGGATTTACAAATGCCAATTTGTGATGGGGTACGCTTCCAAATCTTAGCATTATTATAATATGTACAAAATGAAATGAAATTTGTTATTTATTTTTGTTCTTTAATACGTAGATTGAAGCAACGAAAGAAGTAGGTTCTTCATGATTAATAATTTGATGACTTTTGGCACTACTATAAATTTATCAAAAACTTTTACAAAGATTCGAAAAATAGAAAACGGTGAAGAATCATATTTGATATCCGAAACACTAAAAAGTTCTGATCCAACAAGTCATTATGGGAAACGCCGAAAAAAAGCGATTATTATAGCGATGACTGGACTTGCCTCTGAAGTATGCACTTAAGAATTCTTTGAAGATTTTGTCATTGAGCTAATTATTAATTATTGGTGTCATCTTTTTACTATTGGGAATATAGGAAGATAGTGAAGCCGCGGTATGAAATTGGTTGGTCAGGAAGGTTATTTATAAATATAGGTTAATTTACATTATTATTCTGTTTTATACGATTTAGGAAGCAGCGGGATGTAATGAATTTTTAACAAAGTAAAGTTTAGAAATGTTTCACGAATAATTTTTTGTAAATTTCATCGTTATCATCAAATACTAATTTCAAATCCGAAAAAATAAGACCTGTGTCAATAAAAACTCTAAATTCGCGTATGGAATGTTGGACGCGTGAAATATTGGAGTCTGATACCGGTGAAAACATCATAGAAGAGACAAAACCACAAGAAGAAAAGGAAAAGCGACCTTCACAAATAATTGAGGAAACAGTCGAACAACCACAAATAGAGTTAGAAATGAAATCAGACACACCATTGGTACCATTAAGGCCGATATAGTCTTCATCTAAGGTGATTGTGTCCGAACATACGTATGTATAATTTCAAGGTTGTAAAATTATATAAATGCATGCACATGTATATGTATTTTAGGCATTAAATAATACGCAGTGATAAGAGAGAATAATTAGTTTAATAATATCATTTCGTTTTCTGTGATGCAAATACTATAATACTTTATTTCATTTTCACGTATATATATTTTTAATAATTTTAAAATCTTACGCGATAGATTATAAGTTTGTTAGATCCTTCATTTACAAAATAATGTATGTCTTAATATTATATGAATTCTAGCAGAATTAATAACGATAATACACATCATGTAATAGACCGATAAATGCACTATATACCTTAAAATCTCAGTGTCATAAATTATATTGAATTTTTAGATCGTGCTCAAGAATTAGTTCATAATTTTGAAGACTATAATTATTGATTTTTATTTGTAAGTAGGCGGACAGGATTGAACATTAAAAAAATTGTAATTTTTTACAAAATTAAACAACGTATAACTTATGTCTTTTGTATATTATATATTGTTAATTATAAAAGTTTGTGTATATTTAAACATGTTTATATGGTATATAGCTTTAAATGTTAAATACATATAAATATATATAACAAGATTAGATATTATACCTGTCAAAGAAAATTTCTACCCGGGTATTATTAAAATATCTAAATATCTAGATAAAATGTTTATTTGAATACAATTTCTAAACAGGATTAATTATTGAAATCAAAATTACAGAATTTATTTAATTCAATATATAGAAGCTAGTTAATAGAAAAGAAAAAGATTTTTTCTAAATATAAGCTTTTTAAATTTTAAATTAAATTATTTCAACAACTATTAAACTAAATTTGATGATTTTTTTTATTTTATTTTTTTTATTGTTAAGATGATCTTTTTGGTCTTTTGATTTTTATTAATGGTTTTTTGGTAATGTGATTCTTGTAAATCATTACAAAAGAGTGTACAATTGAGTACACATGTAACTTTTTTATATTACCTATTTAAGAAGTTCATTCAAAGGTTCTTCACCAATTGTCATGCCTAACACTTTTGCTTGGATGTTCTATTTTAAACCTTCTAAACCTGCATCTGTATTAATATTATTGGATCTTGCTCAGATTATCATCTTAATTCTAGAATTATTTTATCCTTAAGGTAAACTTTTCAGAGCTTTTTGTACCTATTTTTACAGTTAACCTAGTATCACTATGACAGAATCAACACTTGCAGTCAGAGTTTTATCTTTAATCATTATGTTCTTATAGAATTTACTCAATTTTAGTATTTATTTCATAACATATTTCTAATATTTTAGTATATTCTTGTTTGTTTTTTAAACTTCTAATTCAGATAATCTATATAGGATTATGATCAATTTATCTGTATATCAGATTAGTCCAATATTTTTTTTTATAGTTTGTACCAATAACCTGATTAGTAATACTTTTGAAACTCCAACTTAGAGATTTTTATCTGTCTAAAACTTTAATATTGGTATTTATTTCTAGCAGTCTAGTTTTTATAGTAGTATTATCAAAGATTTATAGTACCTTTCTACTTGAGTTTTTTTTAAATAAATTTCTTATTTTCTAATTCAATAGATTTACATAGTTATAAGAATTTATTTAGTATTTACATTACTTAATACTAGTTTGCATACCTTTATATAATTAGTTATACAGATACCTTATGACCTGTCAGTCATGTTGATATAATTGTCATTACAGATATCTTAACTTAATTATTAGAAATAGTTGTTATAATACAAGTATTATGTAGATAATTATTAAATTTTCACTGTCAATAGAATTTGAACACCTAACTTATTACTTAAAGGGTTGACAATTTATTCATTTTATTAAATTACTATATCTGATTTTTATTTATTTTAATTTTATATAATTATAAAATTAAAAATAAAACAATATATTAAATTTAATATAGTAGTTATTAAGATATTTTAATTTAAAATTTTAAAAAAAGTTATTAAAAACTTTGTTTTTTCTATTAATAAGCTTTTATATAAATAATTTTATTCTTTTTGATATTACATATTAATATTATTAGTTAAAAACATTTATAATTAATATTATTAATTATAAACTATTTTATAGATCCATGAGTCGATAGTGCAGTGGTTAGCACTTTTGGGTCTCAATTGCAAGATCACAAGTTTGAGTTCAAAAGGTAACAAAAACTCTGTCAAGACCATAATTGAAAAAGATCTGCAAAGAATTTCTACTTAAAAAAGTAAAAACAAGATTCATATGAAAAGAATGCAGTGATCAGCTATCAACAAATGATATTAACATTAAGAGAGCTTGATTTAAAAATACGTAGAATTAAGAATATCAAAAATATACAAATAATTTAATTGGTAGATCATATGAAGTTAGAAAACTGCAAACTAAAAGTAATAGTAGGTTCTATATCGTAGAACCAGAGATCCAGAATGTCATATAATAGACTTAATAGAGTATGAGTTATCTTACAGTTTGGTAACATATAGAATTACATGCCATTTGATGATCTTTACAGAATAATAACTTTAGCCTTTAAGAGATATGACAGATCCTAAAGGTGTCTAAAAACCTTTAGGATAGCAAAAAGAGATAAAAATAAAAAATAAAAAAAACTATTTTATTTTTTTTATTTTTTATCTATTTTTTGATAACCTTTCTGATTTATTAGTTTTTATTAACATTAGCAAATAATATGTTTATATTATAAACAGTTATAAAAAGAGTACACAATTGGCTACATATTGAAGTTTTTTATATTACCTAATTAAGAAGTTTACTTAAAGGTTTTCTACTAATTACTATATCCAACACTCCTGCTTAGATAGTTTATTTAAACTCTTTGTTTTTGCATTTCTATATTAATTTTACTGAGTTATAGATTCAGATATTTTGCTTTTAACTTTATGTCTAATTTATTCTTAAGATAAACTTTCTAGAACCTTTTTTGTATTTTTACTTTACAGCTAACCTGATGATGCTATAAGTAAAACTAATATTTACAATTAGAGTTAATTATTAAACTACTATATCTTTGTAAAGTTTATATAATTCTAGTACATCTTTTTACAATCTTATCAGTATTTTGTTTATTTTTGCAAATTCTTATATACTACTAATCTAGTAAGCTCTATATAATATAATTTCATATTTGATTTAGCTAGTAACCAAGTTAGTAAATCTATTTATCTAAAGTTCTTGTTTATACAGATTATCTGCTTCAGATTTTTTCTTTGAATCAAGGTTTTTATAAGTAGTATCATTAAAGATTGTATTATCTTTCTAATTAAAATTTCTAAATAGAATTTTTTTTAGATTATATATTTTTTAGATTTATTTATATAACTTTATATACTCTTAAAGTTAGTCTTGATACAACTAGAATTACAGAGTTATAACTTCAAATACTCTAATCAAGTTGTCAAAATATGAATATTTTTTCAAAATTCTACTATTTGTGAGATTTGAACTCTGAATTTACATATGAAGGATGACAACCTAATTATTATATTAGGATTACTATTTTTTTTATAAAATATTTTATAATAAATTTTAATTAATTCAATATATATATATTGAAATTTTAGAAATATAATAATATAGTAAAGTGTTGTTATTTTTTAAGTAGCAGATCTAAAGTTCAAATTTTAGTATTGATGAAAATTAAAAAAATTTTTATATATTATAATTAACTGTTTTTTGCTATTGGTTAAAATAAAATACTTGTTATCTATATTATACTGGCATAACTAAAAGGTTGTATAGCATTTGTACAATAATTGTATCTTGTATAAAGAAACACAAACTAGTACTAGTAATATAAACCTATAATAAGTTTTTGTAAATATGCAAATTATAGAAACTAAAAAACAGAAGACTACTTAAAAAACATAAATAAAAAGGTAATCTAAACTTTCAATGATTGTCTAAAGTGCAGTGAGGACTCTAATGATAAAGCAATTGATATGATTTTGTATTGGATTTCAGTTATATGATCAAATAATGGCCAATCAAACTATATAAATAAATATGAATCAGTTCAACAACCTGAAATTTACTGATAATCAATACTTATATGTATTTTTAGCTTCAGACATTGACAGTACTTGTTTTTTTAATGTTATTATAAAAACTAGATTTAGGAAGCAGTGCTAAAACTTGTAAAACTGATTAAAGTGTTAGTTTTTGAAAAGAGATTGTTGTAATCAACTAAGTTACTAAAACTCTTTAAAGAAAAAGATTACATATTAACAAAAATATAAACTAAAGATATAGTTATATTTATCTTTTTAAATTATCTTAACTAAAAGCTTAATAAAATTTAAATTAAATATCAAAGTAATAAGAATATATTATAAAGTAAATATTAGAATTAAATTAAACTTTACAAGAGCATAGTAGTTTAATAATAAGTTCTAACTGCAAGTGTTAGTTTCAGTTATAGCATTACTAAATTAGTTATAAAAATAAGATATAGAAGCTTCTAAAAGGTTTAGTACAAGGTTAAAAATTTTTTGTATGAGTAAACTACTTTAAAGACTTAATAATCATGATATATTTTTATTAGTATCAACTAAGATCATTAGTAAATATAGATAAGTAAATAAATACAAAATTAAAGTTTTTAAATAAAAAATTTACAAGTAAATTTTAAATATAGCAACTAGTATAAAACCTTTAAATAGATTATTTAAATTAAATAATATAATAAGTTTTTACTTAATTTTAATAATTTTGCTATTATTAGAATCAGAAAGACTTATTCTACAACTTTTATTTAATAATTCTAATTAGTTTACTTAATATAGTTTTTTATAAATTTAAATATAGAAAAAAAATTTATTATACTTTTTCTGATAATCACTTAGACACAAAATCAATGAAAAAGAAAATAGACTTTCTATACAACTAATAATAAGAAATATTGCAAACAATACTAAAAAAAAAAAACAACAATAAAA